CAAACCGCTAAGTTAGAGTGAAAAACAACTGAATTCACAACTTAATTTATGAAACAAGTGTTTTGAGGACAAGGTACTTTTGAGTCTTCGCATATGCTTCGTAAACTTTCAGTAACGGTTCGTATTTCTGACATAACAAGGTCTTTCTGTGCTGACATCCACTGGGTGCCAGGCCTAATGAAATTCCAGAATTACATGAAAAAAAACAAATTACTCCCACGGTGCTCCAGTATACATCGTACTGTATGCTTAGAGGTGAAACATTTTCAATGATTCTCCATTGTTGCTGGAAATTCTGAAAATGTATGTATGTATGCGTTCTACGTGATTTTCTGTTGTCCCAGTGCGCTACGTTTGTGTCGTCCAGTTTATATATCGGTGTGTGTCGAAGGTACACTCCCAGTAACCATCTTCCGAAAGCTACCAACACAAGTCTTATTCAGTGCTGTCACAGGCTGAAAAGAAACAGAGCTGTCACGCCTTGCGAGTCTTACAGGCGTGACTTCATCATTACAATATAGTGCTTAGGTTATGGCAGTAATGACATGAAAGGCCTATGCACAGTATGTCTGCTCTGGTTGGCGACGTCATGTAAAACGAGATATTAGCCATTTTGAGGGCAGTTCGTAGACGTAAATTTACTCGCGACTAGCTCAAAAGAGATCCATTTATTTGCGTTTAATTTCAGAGGGAGCCCACCTGGAGCTTTGCCACTTGCTTATATCGTTCACGGGCTCTTGATGCACGGTGCCCTTCTGCTGAGGCAAAGGATTAAAACAGAGGTAGTTCTCTTGTCCAATGTTCAAGAGTGGTTGCGAACTGTTCCAACACAGCACAAATAACTTGAGGGGCGCTGTGTGTTGGAGGCAAACGTTACCAACCAGAGCGCGTAAGTGATGCATTTGTTGTGTTGGCCCTCAAAATTGTGAACAAAATGAAATTTACGGAAACATTACATTCCACTTCATGAAAGCGCGGAGAAACTGGAGTAAAAATTTATTTCTGCTGCTCTGACATCAGAAAGTGAGGTTACTGGTGAATGTAGTCATCACATGGCCAGGCTAACCACGAGCACTTACGGCATCAATACAAAGGCGCAGTTGCAATAAATGGATCTTTCGCAATCGGCCCAGATGCCTTTCTTCAGCCTTCAGAGTATGACTGGGCCAAGCGAAGGTACTTTGCAACCGACGTAGACTTCACGAGTGTGGCGGATCACAGGGTTGACCGGCACGCCAAATTATAGCAAAAGTTCAGAAGCTGGACTTGATAAGTGCTGAAAAGCGTTCTAAGTAATGCGTTTTAGATTAAGTAATCATCGCTTGTTGTCTTCAGCCGGCGCCCTAAGGTAGATGCAACATTATTTTACCTTCGAATCATGGATTCTACTTCGAGGCTTCCTGGAGTCAAGAAATGTAAAAACATATTGATTTCCCAGAATTGCTGATTTGGGCTCTTATGCTTTGGTCCAGGTAGGCGTCATACCGGGGTTCATTACACACAGGGCCTCGCAGCTACACCTGTGTCCCCTCCAGAAGCACCAGAAGGCAGACAACACAGTTTTGAGTTGTTTGACACTTACCGCGGGACGAACCCTCAGACCCTGACCGTGCAGCGGGCAACGTTTACTGTCATGGCAATCGATATTATAGGATGGGTAACTCTGCGGGTACCATATATGGACAGAACAAATTGAAAGGCCAGGAGCGTAAAAAGCGCGTTGCCAGCACTAGTCCTGGTCACCAATGACAGGTAATCCGCCATGGACGTTACATGCAGGAGCGGTATTGTTTGACTCTGGGCAACAAACCGCGGCTTTTCGGGTTTCTGGGGGTTGCAGTTTTCGGCCACCCGGCCTGTGGGGAAATAGGGATTAATGGTGATGGACTGAAAACAAGCGCAAAAAGTATTAAATACTCTGGTTTGTGAAGGAGGAGACGATCTAAGGGAAAACCTATGAGAATAGTTTCGGTGTTCAGTGACCGCTCCGCCTCTGAATATCGAATCTACTTTGTAGATGAACACTAGTTAGGCGTGTTACTTGAGGTGAGTGTCAAGCGCATTCCCCAACTCGGGTGTCAGTCATCAGAGAGCAGACCATGGTTAGTGTTAAAAGCAGTAATTCACTTACCGTATACTTGAGTTGCCTTGTAAGTTCCAACACGGTGACGTTGCAGGCTTCAGGGCAATGACCTCGGTGCCCCAATACATGAGAAGACACATACAGTCATTCGGTGGACTACGTTCAAGCATGTAGCAGTCGATGGCTAAGGTTTTGCTTTGGTCATAAAGGCACGTCGTACTCCTGCAAGTGCCAGTCTACCCCCTGTGTGCCATGCTTAAAACGGTTGAATTGATGCAATTGTACTTTCAGACCGCCAGTAGCATTCTGTAGACGGTTGTTAGCCACTGTACCAAACTGTGCCATCCTGGATGGTACTTAGAGGATCCAGTTGTGCGGGATACAAAGTTAGTGTGTCATGAGGTAAAAGACGAATTGTAGATCCATGCGGTAGAATTTGTGTCAGTTACTTATCAAAATGTAAACCCTCTGCGTGAGATTGCTCAGACAAGATGCGCAGAGCAGTATGTGTTAGCTGTGTGCGACCCATCTACAATCAAAAACACAGACGTTATAGGTGTATATATGTCTATGTTATGTACCATAATGTTTTTGATGACTTTGCGTATACGAAATTTCACATAAGATCACAGCCGAATGCAACCCTGGCCGCCAATATATCCACCACAAACGTGTCCGCTTGAAGCCACATGCCCATCCCCCCTGATGGACTAAAAATTTGGCGCATGTGATAAATCTGCTAGGTTTCTACAATGGAATACATGGCCGGATACCAGCGGCCGTGTTGATTGTGGGCAAAAAGATGCGAAGCTTGCGCACACGTGCCATATATGAGTTGCTTTAAAACGACTCACCAAAGACGGTTGTTTGTGTTTGTTCCTTCGGAATTTCCGACGCATAAGGAACGTCGGATTGACTCAATCTACTGCACTTTGTTGGAGCAGATGTGGCTGAAGCGCGATATCACCCATTCTAACACTAACGTGCGTCTGTAGTCGTGAAGCTTGACTAAGATCGAAGACAATGCATGAACCAGACTGGAACCAAATTTTCAGCTGCTACTCGAGAGAGCGGGCCGACCTCCCAGCGATAGCCGCATAATTCCTGAATGCCAAGTGCACTTCAGAATTCTTTGGCCGTGAACTGCCGCAATTTAGGTGATTACGTTCAGCGCTTTAGAAAATATTCACTCATGCCATTCATCCATGTTTAGCAATCACTTTACAAGAAGCCAGTACTATAAAACTCGGTCACTCTGCTGTTGTGAGTAAAACGGTGGTAGGCGACTGCCAGATGGTCTGCGTAGACAAAACCGGAATGAGGAACCGATGCCTTGGTCACTGTCTGCTGTTAGGAAATTCGCTCAACTTACTTGCCTCTTTTAATTCCTCCACACTCACTTGGTTTTTGGGGTCGTGTGTTTCATCTGCGGTGCGGCCATTCGTTTGGTCACCATTGCAATTGCTGGGTAAGTGCTGGAAGAAATGAGAGCAATTAGCACTACCTGGGCAACTGGAAACGAGGATACTGTGGAAAATTTTGAAACGATATGGCTCAAAATTTGCGCCAACCATCAATGTAATCAACATGTGTGTACCAGCCAAAACAAGTCAAAGGAGGGTCACGGCTCATTGTATTCAATTTATACGCAACAATCACATTCTACCAATTCAAACGGCTCTGGATATTTGGCTGATGGTGCGCAAACACAGTTATGGACCGAAGTCTTTTGACCCTCTGCTTGAAAGAGGGTTCCCTCTGCCTGGAAGGAATCTCCCTCTGGTTGGAAGGAAGCGATTGTCATGCCAGTCTACAAAACTGGTGACCGACTATCGCCTGGAAGCTACAGGCCTATTAGTCTCACTAGTGTGCCGTTCAAGGTGATGGAACACACTTTGAAGCGAGCTATCCTAGATCAACTTACTTCCAACAATCTGATATCTCCAGCTCAACACGGACCTTTCCTAAGTCGTTCTTGGGTGACGAACATGCCTATGTGTATGGACAGCTTAGCCCAAGCCAAGGACGAGGGACTCATATTGGATGCCATATTTTTCGGCTTCTCAAAAGAATTTGATCGGGTTCCAAACGTTCCGCTGTTCCACAAACTCAAACCTTACGGAACTCATGGGAAAGCCATACACTGGATCGAGGCGTTCCTATCAGACAGATCATTCCGAGTGAAGGTAGGCTTTACCTATTCTCCTTCAGCGCCAGTCTCTATAAAGGTTCCTTAAGACTCCGTTTTGGGACCACTGTTGTTTCTGATCTGCGTCAACGACTCCCATATGCTCTTGCAAGTCCATGTCTACTTTTTGTGAATGGTTTGAAATCCTGGAGTTCCAATGCGAATGCACTCCAAATGGATTTAGACGCTGCAAAGCAGCGGTCGTTGGACTGCGCTTTCTCTGAATGAGGAAAAGAGTGTCCGTATGTCATTTGGAGGACACTCAGCGAATGCCTTCGTCATGCATGGTGAAAAAATGCCGGGAAACGTCATGAGGATAAACGCGAAAAAGGATTTGGGTATTTGGCTCTCTTCGAACCTGCCCTTCTCACTGCACCGTGAGAAATCTGCCCAAAAGGCATTCGCTGCTTTAGGGATAATTTGGTGCACCTTCTCCAGTATTGCTGGCACGAACTTCCAAATACTCTATGGAGCCTGTGTCAGACCGCTCCTTGAATACGCCAGCCAAGTTATCTACTCATGGCGCACGACAGACGTCAGGCGAGCCGCTACGAAATTGTTTGCCGGCCTCAAATCAGTAAAAAATAAAAGGCGCCTCGCGGTGCTTGACGTCCTTTCCCCGGGGATATCATCGCCTCTGAGGGAACCTAATTCTTACTCATGCCCTTTTTGAACAAAGCTTGGCCAACGGGTTTTTCACCATTGACCCAACAAACAGACGGCGGAGATATGGTAAGATCTTCAAGCTCAGAACGGGTGGTAGCTGTGTGGAATAAACTTCCTCAGACCGTTGTCCACGCTCCTTCCAGAACCCAGTTCGAAGCACTAGTGGACACTTATTTATGTGAATCCTTGCACCGGCAAGCATACTACACCGGGCGGAGAACATAAAGAGCAGTGCTACACCATTTTTTCACCTGTGTCTTTCAGGTGAACGATAGCCGCTGAACGGCGAGAACAGAACCGGCCCGGGAAATTCGGCCAAAAGCTCCGATTTTGTGCATCAATCCGTGACCAATCAGGACCCAGCTCACTGGGGTAGTTGTCTGTGGAATAGCATTTCTCCAGCGGTTGTTCGCACTGCATCTAGTCCCCAGTTGGGAGCACTTTTCAACCCCTTTTCACTCGAACCCTCGCGCTTGTAAGATTACTGCCCCGCACTGTGAACTTAAAGAACGGTGCTACACTCTTTTCGTGCTTGTAATTCCAGGCGAACGGAAGCCTCTTAACGACAAGCAGAAACCCGACCCGAGGAGTTTGGGCGAAAGCCTCGATTATATGTATTATTCCTTGAATCCGTGAATGCCCGACGAAACAACGACCCAACTCTTCGACCGGTCACTCGCGCGATAGGTTTTTTTTGGATTGTCCAGCGACCAGTCGTGAATTGTGAGTTGTTTTTGCAGTGAGATTCCACCTGACATTGCAACCAGACATTGTTGCAATAACTGTCCTTCAAAGCCGGCAATGAGTCTCTCAGTTGGTTTGGTCGCTCCATTGAGTTTCCTATGCGTTGACCGGCGGAACCTGGCTTTGGCGTACGCTGATTTCTTTCTCTGCGTGGAGGGAGTCCTGGGATTTTGACGTAACTAGCCGAGGCGTTTGGGTCCAGCAGAGCCGAAAAATCCTCGGGATCAGAAAAAGCCTACGCTGAATGATCTCACGACTGAGGACTGCATCCAAGTATTGTTGAGGTAGGCGACATCAACTTAGCCATGCTGTGGTGAATAAAGTGCCACGAGAATTGGCGCGAAAACAGCCCTGAAGTAAACTACGATACAGCATCGACAGAAAGCTCAGCAGAAAGTTATTTGGGCTATGGTTGGTTGAACGAAAAGGACGAGCCTGAGTTGGCGGACTCGGGAAGCTTGGGCGAAGGTGTTGACCCGTGTATCAATCCGTGGATATCATTCTGTGGTAGCGTATTCACTAAGTAGACAAGCGAGGGTTGCCTCATGTTATTTGGACCACGAATTCTTCGATCGCCATCCACGTTGATTACTTGATGCATGACAGACTACAACGATAGTTCACAAAAACGAATCAGAGCAGGTCCCCGATGTAGTAACGGTATTTTCCTTAGCTAAGTTCTCGGTCTAAGCTTCCCGATCTAGCGTTCACGTCAAGAACAACCACCAAAGGTGCACAAGGTCTATTAACGCCCAAAACG